AAAAAAGCTTTAAAAGTGTATAAACTGTTGACGTTTAGAGTTTCAGTGACCTACCTTTACATTTGTGCAAATTGCAGCTCTCTGTGGAGATATTTGTACCTGGGCAATCCATACCGTTCCATTTTGGCGCTGGATTAGAGCAAGTGCGGGCACGTGTCCTGTTTCCCCCTCCACACGTCACGCTGCATGGTTGCCATGGCGACCACTGGCTCCAACTGCCATTCACTGATGATTAGAAGAAATAATCCATAACAAAAATGCTGTATAAACAGTTAGTGTTTTGGATTGTAGAGAAAATTGATCGGCCTATGCTCTAAAATAGAGTTTTTTGTACAAAAACAAATCACGGTTCCGATAAAAATGCTTACGGTTTTTATTGAGCGTTCCAATCCAATAGACTGGAGAAGCCAAGAGCCTCAACATGGCAGTTGCGTAATACCAGTTTTGATACAAATGTTTAGAACTAACGGAAGCTGATATTTAGATCAGTTGTTGCGGACCCAAACGCTAATAATCCTACATAATATTAGTTAGCAAAATGAAAAGGTTTAATTTTTTTTACAACAAATCGCAAGAAAATTGTTATCTTATTTGAATTTTCCAGATCAATCAACACTATAATATAACACTGATTCGAAAAACAAAATAACAAACCTGAAATAGGTTGAACGACAGTTTTCGGCCGCCGATAAAATAAATGAAACAACTAATCTCAGATGGCAAAAAATCTAAATATCTGGCTAACCGGCATCCATGACTTCTTGTCAGAGCGCTAAATTTCCGGTGAAGTGATGAACTGGTACTTTAATTACCTTCAACAAAGCGGTAAACAAATATGGTCCATGTAGCTCCCACGCCATAATTCGATAAACAATTGTCGGATCGGCCATGTCGGTTGTACGTCATGGCACCGTTCACCCCACTCCAGCACTGGTGGCGATATTCCACGCCAAAATACCAGAAATCGTTCTTGTACACTTCGGTAGCACACGCGTGAATTATGGCTGCGTATGAACTGGCCAAATCTGATTCGTTGATCATGTCAGAGAACGTTTTGACTTCTACTGGCAGAACGCGTCGATTTCTTTTATCTTTGAAACAACCTACTGGTTCATACTGATACAATGCCGTTGTATCTGTGCAAAAAAAAAAAGAACAGATAGTCATTTAGTGGAGACGTCAAGCAATAAATTAGCAGCCTACATAGCGGGTGGTTCCTGCTGCTCATTTCACGAGAAGTCCTTAAGTCTCTACCATCCTATTAATCTTGCGGCATTAACAGTCGCTAGTTTACTCCTTAACCACTATTTTTTATTTAGCCATCGTACTAGAAGGGGCGCTCAAGCAAGTAAACTGCTATGGCCATATCGGTTTAATCATAAAACACAGCTCATGCAGCCAGTTCCTTAAGAGACACTCCCGCCTATATGCAACAAGCTGTTTACCGACTTCACAAAAAGTCCAGAGCCCTGGCAAAATAAATTTGGTAACTATTTCTTCACTTAAGGCAATAAGGGTTGCTATATCACTGATTTATGAACTCTGTGTGAGATCCTCTAGAAGAACAAACACGTTGCATGACGTAAGTAGCACAGGACTACGACATTAAAAATTCTGCCATGTCGAAGTAGTGATTATAGGGAAGGCCGTAATACATTGGCTCAAAACTTTGAAGACAGTACTTGAAACCGTCGTTTGCAGTCCTTAAAACCATGGTGACGTTAGAGTATGTTAACAGCACTAGCTTTGCTTTGAAGTCAATTAACAATACTTTGTGAAAAATTTATTAGTTTCTTTTCGGTTGGATTCTCTTTGATATTTAGCCTGTTTTCTTTAGTTGAAAAGTTAAAAATCCTACTCAGAGATATATTTTGCGATGTTTTAATTTAAAACAAACTAATCATCTATAATATTAAACGTCTCGTGAAAAATGTTTCCATGGACAATGTTTCTGAGTGAGTGATGGAATAAAGATACAGAACTGACAAAAAACACGTTGACAGGAACTATTCTTTGGCCAAATGTTTTTATATCTTTGTTGCTTGCAAAACCGTGTCTTATGACTATACGTACTTGATTGTGATGTCTTGCTCTGCGAGGTGCCTTCATTCGGCCAAGCTTGTAGTATTACGATTCCGATGAACATCAATCCGCAATGAAAAATTTCGTTGGAAACGATCCCTCGCTTGAAATGTTCTAGTGAAAGAACCCGCATCGCGATAGCTCTGAGGAGAAAAACAGTCGTGGCAGAAGTTACAGCAAACCTGAATCAAATCTCCTTCAATTCGCTCTTTAACAGATGATGTTGAGGTAATATTTCATTTAAGAATCAACAATAATAAAAAAAACGCCAGGCAATTGTTTATTTAACAGACTACAAGATGTTGTATCGAGGACTTTAAGACGACTAGTCAGTCATTTTTCAAGAGCGAAAATATAAGAAAACAAAATTCAATAAGCTGATGATAAGATTTTTAATGTGGTTTCGTGCAGAAAGTTGAAACAGGTTGGAAAACCAGACAAATTCAGCTGTGTTACCTAGCTTCTAATATCTTTTTGGGAAAACTGCCATGTGATTTTTCAGTTAGACGTTTGCCGTGGTCCTATAAGATTTGGTCCTAAGTGGAATATAATGCACTTTTGGCCTAGGTTGTGCGCGAAAAAGGTCTAATTAATCTTCTTGTCATCACGATTATGATGCGCTCAGATCAATATTCAGATATGTCACTAGACAAACACATTATCAGAGAAACAATCAGAAAGATATATAGTAGTACCGTGGCGTTGTTCATTCTTATTATAATTTTCATTCGCATTTTGAACGCCTCGTCCGGGCTGGCCAATATGCTACAATAATGGTAAAAATACTTATTAATCCAACCTTACGCACAGTGCAATACAAATAATGGGCGAAAAGTGAAAGATGAAAACTTGGTCCACTGTCAAATATCCGTGCATCTTTTTTGAGACAAATGTAGACTATTGTTTCCATAATTATTTTTTGGTACCGGAAGAAACCGTTCAAACAAGTTAGTTAACCTTAATGCAAAACACAGTTCAATTTACATTTCCCGAGAGAGAGGAAAGTTGGACAATTTACTTCTCCCAAGACAATTTAGTACTGTGCCTTAGGGCGGCCAAATTTTATTCCAAAATACAGCAAGACAATACTAAGTCTAAAAATATGTTAATATCGCAGGTTTAAGCTGTTAAG